TACTGACACTTTGGTTTGACACAAGATATTATTATTATGAATGTTTTTATACTGACGGTTTTATGTAATAAAATTATTGAAAAATGAAATTTTTGGCCTTGAATTTTGGGATGTTACAAGTTGGTATCAGAGCCTTGGTTTGAGGGATTCGGGCACACTCTCGGGTGTGTCTGAACTCAAACTAGGGACTTGGTATGAAAATTTTCAAAAGTAAAACCATTTTTATAAAAGGAGTTTGAAAAGAATTTGAAAAGAGAAAGAACTTTGAAAAGAACAACGTGTGTGATGCGTGCAATTAGCCGAGCTCAAGTAAGTTTTCCCCAATATACCCATACATGTTATGTTATGATATGATTATGAGAACTGCTTGCTAGATTAGGGGTAAGGATCTAGGAAGGATGCCTTATATGCCTATTGTATGTGCTTGTAGACTTGCATGCTAGTACTGATCAGTCAGTAATAGGATGACCTGTTTAGGTTATGCCTGATTATATGAGCCTTTGTATTGCATGTACAGATTCCTAATTAGAGGATAGAATGGTTTGATTGGGATATGGTGGTTAGATTTTCCATTGTCTGAATGCTGCTTGCTTTGTGCTTTGTAGGCCTCTTAGTAATGTGAGCTAGCTATTAAGTCAATATGCTAAGTCACATGTGACACAAGCCGGATAATCTCAGAGTGATGGATTTGACCCTATTGTGCAACTCTCGTTTGATTCTAACCGTTCTAGGGATGAGTCTTTTACTCGAAGGATTATCTGATCTCTGTTGCATGTGGCTATATTTATAAGGTAGCTAGTTGACATTACTGGGAATCTTTCAGCAGCTGAGGACTGGATGAGTTCAGGAACCTATGATATGTTTCAGTGGGTTAGTAGTGAGGCTGAGTGAGACTTGGGTGTACCGGTTGAGAAGTGACTTGGAGGAGCCGGGAGGATTGCTGAGGAAAGTATGGATAGGTGTGCAAGGTAGTACTGGGCCCGTACTACTGGAAGCACAGGATCCATACCCGAATCGGTGAGAGTCTTGGAGAATCTGAGAAGCTTTGGGGAAGAGTTTGTGACCCGGTTGGGGCAGAGGATGTCCCAGTTGTTGCAGCTTAGCCATTGGCAAGCGAGCTAGCGAGCGTGACAGGGTGTCGGACCCTGACGAATATAAATTCCAAGAGGTTCCAGATGTGAGATCGATTCGGAGCCTCGGGAAGAGAGGGTCGTGCCAGGTGCGTATAGTAGAGGGTCCCGGGAAGAGACCCATGACTTCTGATCATTGGGTGAAAGGCCAGCAGGGCCGGAGTCAGTGCAACACGTACATGAAGGTGCACAAGGTAGTTTGTCGCTCCAAAGGTTTAGGCTGCTACAAGGTAGCGGGGTTAGTCATGCCAGCAGAAGGTGGTAAGGACTCATGGGTATATTCGAATCCTTGGAATGTCAGTTCAGTATGGTGTTAAGCACCCAAGAGTGAGATTCAGATTTTGGTTCCGGCTCAGGATCAGGGCCTGGGCCAGTCGATGCACGATCGCGGAAGTTCATCTCATCGGAGATTACTCGTGAAGTTTTGAGAATGGCCCTCGGTGGTCTTTCGTTCAGCCAAGGAAGGACTTTAGAGGCTCCCGATAGTTGTCTCGGGGCCTTTTTGGGACATATTTTCGCGGGGAAGTTAGGGGTTCATTGGAAACCCAAGGTCTGTGGACCCTTAGAATCCTTTGGGACGAAAGATTTTGTAGTTGGTTCCTGTCATCAACACCAGGATTTCGACGTATGTTCGCGGGTATGCCATTGTTAGCCACTTCAAGTGGATATAGGGAATCTGTAACACTTCATAATTTGAGTGAGTTGGGACAAGTCAGATATTAGTTCGGTTTCTGCTACTGTTTGGGTTATCAAGGATTGTCATATGCCAATCTGCATGCCGGAAGTCCTTGATTAACCTACAGAGAGATGTATCTTGCGGAGTGGATTTCGCATGTACCGTTCTCATCCCGGATCCTTCTCGGGATCTATGCTGGAGTATTATTCAGAGAATATTGGGTCAGGATTAGAGCGATAGTTCTCTAGTGAAGTCAGAGTTTAGTGATTCTATCATTTGTTCGTATATGGTCTAATTTGTCTATGGATGAACTTTGGAGTTCAAGGCACTACTATTGCTAAGATAGGATTAGTAGCACGTAGATGGTGATGTCAGTTGCGGGTGTTAGATGCATAAGTGGTTAGTCATCGGATGTTTAAGAGAATTGTATTTTTACATGGACTGTGTACGGATAAAATTCAGTGGTATTGCGAGATTGGAAGTGGGAACGAGGACTCGTCAGCCAGAGTGAAGATTACAGCCTCTAGTTGTCAGCATGGGAGGTGGATTGAGGTATCAGACTGGACCAGATTTCAAGAGTACTCTTCAAGATTTCCGAGTATGGGCGATCTTAAGGTTTAACCAGTTATTAATCGCTACCATTGGTAAGCACATGTTGTCACCAGTGGGATACTAGAAAGCAAGGAGGATTGGGAATCCTTCAATTCTCGCGTGCCATGAAGACTTAGTTGAATCTAAGTGGGGGAGATACTTTTTATAAAGTAATCCAAATGTGAGTTCTGGTTGCGCGGGGTGCAATCTCTTGGGCACCTTGACAACCAGAAAGGTATTCTGGTCGATCCGGCCAAGATAGAGGCCGTGATGCAGTGGGAGATTCCGAGGTCTCCATCTGAGATTCGGATTTTCCTGGGTCTAGCATGTTATTACCGGAGATTTATACGGGACTTCTCCGAGATTGCGGTTCATTTGATTCGACTGACCAAGAAATCGGTGGCCTTTTGCTGGGGGCCTGAGCAGCAAGCAGCCTTCGAGACTCTCAGACAGCGGTTGTGCGAGGCACCGATTCTCACCTTTCCAGAGGGTGTAGATGATTTTGTGGTTTATGGTGACGCTTTGATCACGGGCATGGGTGCGGTACTGATATAGTGGGGTCACGTGATAGCAGGTTTTGGGAACCAGGGTAGAACTCCAGTTAGGATTCAAGTTCAGTTGTGTGTTAGGTCGAGTGCATGTTCGACCCAGTATGGAGAGTGTTGTAAGTCTGCGGGTGTAGCCGTAGCATGCACTAGCAGTCAGATAGTGTTAGAGTGTTGTAAGTCTGCGGGTGTAGCCGTAGCATTCACTAGCAACCAGATAGTGTTAGAGTGTTGTAAGTCTGCGGGTGTAGCCGTAGCATTCACTAGAAGCCAGATAGTGTTAGAGTGTTGTATGTCTGTAGCTGTATCCGTAGCATTCACTAGCAGCCAGATAGTGTTAGAGTGTTGTAAGTCTGCGGGTGTAGCTATAGCATTCACTAGCAGCCAGATTGTGTTAGAGTGTTGTAAGTCTGCGGGTGTAGCCGTAGCATTCACTACCAGCCAGATAGTGTTAGAGTGTTGTAAGTCTGCGGATGTAGCCGTAGCAATCACTAGCAGTCAGATAGTATTAGAGTGTTGTAAGTCTGCGGGTGTAGCCGTAACATTCACTAGCAGCCAGATAGTGATAAAGTGTTGTAAGTCTGCGGGTGTATCCGTAGCATTCGCTAGGTTGGTAGATAGCATGAGTGCATTGGTAGGACGCGAAAGGAACAGTAAGTACCCACCAGTTCGGGTGCAGCAGTGAGGATATGGAAATCCACAGATTGGATTTCGGATTTACCCAAATGCATAAGATCTGGTTAAGCCAGTGATAAGACGGTAGGAACGTCACTTCAGTTATGGGATCAGGAAAGCAATTGACTGTACAAGATTGCTTGTAATATAAGGCTTCCATTGGTCAGGTAGCATTCACTTTAGTCTTGGATTTGATGATGACAGGATTCAACGCATGGACCCGATCGGTTAGATCAGAAAGTTGTTGGAGTCGCAGTTGCATGATAACTATTGGCAACTAGTTCCAGAGAAGGATTTTTTTTTTAGAAGTCGTGTAAGGCGACTAAGTAGGAGTCCTTTGGCTCCGCAGCCGGGCTGGAACCTGGTGTTTCAGATGATTGGTGAACGAAATGAGACCAGGGAGGTCTCGTTAGATTTTGGAAAGTAGCCATGTGGCAACATACTGCTTCAGGCAGTTCAGTGTTCGGGCAGTGTTAGTATTTATCACTCACAACAGGATTAGCTGAGCCTTGGCCAAGTATAGGTGATCTGCAGGGATAATTAGGTCTGTGATTCTGTTTCATAGTGGGATCCTCGAGTTATCAAAAGTTAAGTGGTCAGCTAAGGGATAAGTACACTGGGTTCAACGATAATGAGTCAGTATGAGCGGTTTGTCAGGAAATCAGACCACCTCGAGACCGCAGATTTTAGATGGAATAGATGTGATATTATTGCAAGAAGTTCGTTCATTTCTGGGTTTTAGAACCCTGCGAGGGATGATTTGGAATGCCTTGGGAAGGCTGAGGCTATGCGCGGGGTTGTGGCCATGATACAAGATTGGTTTATAGTGTAAGGAATAATAAGGAATGATTTCGAGGACGAAATCTAATTTAAGTGGGGGGGGGGGAGTTGTAACATTCGGTTTATTAAATAAATAAATAAACAAATTAATGAACAAATAGTAGCCCTAAAATAAATAATTATACAGCCAGGTGTTGGTTTTGGGAAGCCAAATGTCATAAGTTGGATTATTCGGGGGTTAAAGTATAAATTCGAGATTAACTTTGTAAAGATTTTAGAAGGCGGGGGGATATTTGGTAAGTATTAGACTTAATTTGTAAAGGATTTATGAAATCAGGGTTAAAAAGGTAAATTTCGGACTCATTGTGAAAGAATAAAGAAAGAGAGGGACCAAAGGTGTTATTATGGAGAAATGTTTGATTGGATACGGGACTATAAACTTGTCCTCTCCTCCCAAACCTAACCCTAATGTGCATAGCCGCCACTCAATTTCATCAGTCGCCACCACCGGTTTCTCTCTTGTGTTCCAACCAGATGGAGCTCCGACGACCGCCGCCTGCTGCCTCGACATCGAGATGCCATCACACCTTGCTGCCGGACGCCATGCACGAACGAAGAAACCACCTAGAGCGATTTCCAGGTGGCGTGATGGCGTTCTCAGATTCTCCTTCTCCTCTTTCTTCTCCTGCTCCGCCTTCAGCCAACACCGTCGATGTCACTAGGGTTGTCAAACGCCTCCACCTGTTGTGTATCCGTCGTGGGGAAATCGGAAGACTGACAACTTTATGGAAATGTGGTGGTTTAGGGTGGGACCACTACCGCCCTTCTCCATGTCTTGCTGCTGACGCGCTGTTCCAAGATGACGAAGCTGCTCCTGTCGCCGCTGACGCCGATCCAAGCGCCGTTGTTGCCGGCTGTTGCGCTACTGCCGCCGCCGCTCACCTCAGGTGGGTGGCTGGGTTCGTTTTGCTAGTAGAAGACACGAGTGTGTATGTGTATTACAGTGAAGTGGTGTTTGGGTGTTTCCTGGCCGGATTTTTCAAAAAGGAATCTCCGCCACCACCGTGAGGTGGTGGCTGCCACCTTCTACCACCACCCACCACCACAACGGTGGTTGTGTGTGTCTATCTTTTAGTGTGTGTTATTTTTGTGATTAAAGCATTGTAATTTGTAATTAGAGATTAGAATAATAAAAAGAAAACCCTAACCACCAACGTGAGGTGGTGGTTGCCGCCTCCTACTGCCACCGGCCGCCGTGTCGAGTAGCGGTGTGCTTGCCTCGTTGAGTTTGATTCGTTTGGGGTGCTTGAAACCCTAATGGGCCCAATGAAGCCTAATGGGCTTAGTGAAAACCGTAATGGGTCTAATGGAGCCTAATTAACCTAAGGAAGACCCTAATGGGCTTAAGGACCTAGCTATTGGGCCTATTGGGCTAATATGGGTTGGAAACCCTAATTAGGGTTTGGAAACCCTAATTAGGGTTTGGAAAACCCTAAAGCCATAAAACCCTAATTTGGGACTTGTCGGGACCGCATTAGAATTGTTTAATGAACTTAAAATAATATTTAATAATGTAACACCCAGATTTCCAGGTATATTATTTTTAATTAATTATTTTGAGAGTCTTTGATCTACTCGACGAGTTGGTGCGATAACTCGTCGAGTAGGAGTGGGTGGCCACATGAGTTTAATGAACTACTCGACGAGTCCAAGAGTAGACTCGCCCAGTAGGCGCTGTAAGTAGAAACCCTAAATCCCCGAGCCTGCACCCTATTTAAAGGACCATATGGCCCTTAATTGCGGCTACCTTCGTCCTTGAGAGTACCAGAGCATCTGTGAGTCTTGTGAGTGAGAAAGCAGGCCATTGTTCACCATTTCTTGTGTATTTTAGCAAGAAGAGAAGAGGAAGGTCAAGCTAGGCGAGTTGGGGAGCTTGAATCTACTTCCATTTGATCAGAGGAAGCTGTTGGAGGTATTAATCTTTGCTTTTTCTCGTGATTATGATGATTTAGTTGAATCTTGGGTTTCTTTATGCATTAATTAGCTTGAATATGGAGTGTGTGAGGTCCCAAAGTGAAATGGTTCTTAGATCTGGACCTTAAAAGGTCCGAAGAGTCCCTATCACCCTGCTTTATGTCATTCCTTTGGAGTTATGAGCATTGGTGGACATTTTAGTAGTTATTTCACCAAAAGAAGCCTTGGGTGCGTTGCATGTGAGTCAAGATTCGACCTTTACGTGGTTATTGGTCTTGGCGAAGTCAGATCTATAGGTTAGAGAAGCAGATCTAACCTCAGAAGGTCATTTGAGAGTTGTTATGGAAGCAACTCGCCGAGTTCATAAGTAGACTCGAGGAGTCGAGTCGGGGTTGCCCCGCGATTCGTTGCAGAAAAACCCGACGAGTGGAGGAGGACTCGACGTGCCAAGTCAGGCTTAGAAGGATTCAGAGGACCCGCGTGGACTCGCCGAGTCGCCCGGATGCACTCGACGAGTCTGGTCAAAGTTTGACCATTGACTAGAGTTGACTTCGTTGACTTTTAGGGTTGAGTCAATGTTGGACTTGTGAGCCATTGGAGGGGTAGAAGGGTCTTTTACCTTTCTTAGAGAACTTAGAGAGGGATTAGCCTAGTCCTTGAAAATCATATTAATTAGAGTAATTATTTTATGTGGTTAGGCGAAGGCTAGATCAGTATTCCGAGTTCGAGGTTTACCGAGCTATCCGAGGTGAGTCTTCTCACTATACTTTACCTTGAGTGGTAAGTAGGGTTATGTGACAGAGTATCTTGTATGCTATGTATGTGATGTGTTACACTGCATTATTTCTATGTGCTTTATGTTGTGTGTATTCCAGAATTTACAGAGTTAGGACCGGAAGGTCCACAGAGTTAGGACCAGCGGGTCCACAGAGTTAGGGCCAGTGGGTCGACAGAGTTATAGCCTCGAGTGGCTAATATGTGTTAGATGTGGTATTTGGGGGAACTTACTAAGCATTTATGCGTACAGTGTTTTGTGTTATGTGTTTCAGGTACCAGTGAGGATCGCGGGAAGGCGCCGGCATGATCGGTACACACTTGTGGAGTTTTTATGTATTGTGGTCTTGGGATGAATTTTATGGATTTGATGTGATACATGGAGATTGATAATATTTATGAATGAAATTATATTTTTAAAAGTGGAAAATTGTTTTGGAATTTACGACGTTACAAGTTGGTATCAGAGCCTTGGTTTGAGGGATTCGGATGCACCTTCGGGCGCATTTGAACTCAAACTGAGGATTTGAGAAATTTTTCGAAATAAAACAAAATTTTCCTAAAGGAATAAAAGGTTTTGAAAAGAGCAGAGCAGAGTAGTGTGTACGATCAGCCAGCGCCCGAACGGTGATTTCCCAAAATACCCTTATATTATGCGTTATGAGATATGATATGAAATGTTATGCATGCTAGAGTAGGCTAGGTATCCCTATTAGGACTAGAGTGGCCTGATTCGTGATGCCTTAGCCTAGGGGTTTTGCTATAGGGAGATGCTTGAGAGTGAGTAGATAGCAGTAAGGAGCTTATGAGAGGTCTGCTAGAGAGTAGCCTATGCATAGTGAGAGTGGAGTACTTGGGATTTGGGATCCTAGGAGGAGGACTTGGAGTGAATACTGAAGCGGTATGGACGGTAGTATTGGGCCCATACTACTGAAGACATCGGATCAGTGCGCAGTCCAAGTAAGAATCCTTAGGGTACTAAGGAACAAGTAGGGCTGAGTTGCCGAGTGTGAGTATGCTCGAGCGAGTCTCTGATATTTCTTATGTTGTATTTCAGAGACATCATGGTTGGGACACGCCACAGACCAGAGACCAGCGGTGTGAGAGACGAGGAGCTTCGTCAGATGATCCATGAGGAAGTGGCTGCGACTATCCGCGCAGAGATACCAGAGATGTTTGGGTCTATTAAGACCACATTGATTGAGACCTTTAATGAGAGATACGCAGCGGTTACGGAGGCTGTAGCCGCTGCAGCTACCACAGCTGTTGTTGCTGCTATACCTCAGGGTGGTGATGCGTTGCTGTTCCGGGAATTCAGCAACACGAAGCCACCAGAGTTTGATGGGACACATGATCCGATTGCTGCGATGAGATGGGTTTCTGACATCGAGGGATGCTTCTATACGTGTTCTTGCCCAGAGCATCTGAGAGTTCGGTTCGCACTGAACTAGCTTCGCTTAGGAGCGAAGGACTGGTGGAAGTTTGTGACAGCGCACTATTCTTCTGCAGAGCTTGCCGCAGTGACCTGGGAGAGGTTCACCGCTGTGTTCCGTGATGAGTACGTTCCCCCGGTGGAAAGGGAACGGTTAGCTCAGGAGTTCTTGACCCTCAAGCATGGTACTGAGTCTGTTACTGTGATTACCAGGATGTTCCATGAGAGGGCGATGTTCTGCCCTGAGCACGTGTCTTCCGAGCAGGCACGCATGAGTAGGTATTTGAGCATTTTGAGGAGAGGCATCCGCGAGTTCGTGGCGAACTCGTCGTACCGGACATTTGCTGAGCTTCAGGCGAATGCTCGGAAGAGGGAGATAGAGCTTGAGACTCAGATTAGGGAGGAGGCAGAGTCTCAGGGGAGGGATCGGCGACCGGCATAGTCCCAGCCGACAGCCAAGCGGGCCAAGCCCGCCGATTCGAGATCAGGGAACCAGAAGGGCCGCACTTATGGCAAGTGCGGCAAGGGTCATGAGGGGATTTGTAGAGCGGGGTCTTGCTACAAGTGTGGAAAGGAGGGGCACATGGCAAGCTGTAGGCTCTTGAGAGATGTATCGGGATTTGAGATTGAGCTATTGGTGGTCGTGTATGAAGAGGGAGATAGCCTGGTTTCTTGAGAGATGCTTGACCTGCAAGATGGTCAAGGCTGAGCATCAGAGGCCGCATGGCAAGCTGGAGGCTCTGGAGGTTCCCATGCAGAAATGGGATCAGATTTCGTTGGATTTTATCACCAAGTTGCCGAAGACGGCAAAGGGTTTTGATTCTATGTGGGTCATCGTGGAATGATTGAACAAGAATGACCACTTTTTGGCCATCAAATAGAGCTCTTCGGCCAAAAAGTTGGCTGATGTTTATGTACGGGAGATTGTTGCTCGGCATGGGGTTGCGGTCTCTATTTTTTCTGACCAATATGTTCGGTTCATTTCCTGTTTCTGGCAAAAGTTCCATCAGGAACTGGGTACGAGATTACATTTCAGCACTGCTTATTACCCGTATACCGACGACTAGTGTGAGCGGACGATACAGACCCTTGAGGATATGCTGTGGGCATGTGTTACTAATTTTGGTGGGAGTTCGGATTCCTACCTACCTCTTATGGAGTTCTCCTAAAACAATAGTTACCACTCCAGCATTGGTGCTCCGCCTTTTAAACTCTTGTATGGTCAGAGATGTCGTACCCCAGTTTGTTGGGGAAGGTTGGTCATATAGTTATGGGAAGGACCAAAGTAGTCCTTCAGACCATGGAGTTTATCCAACAGATCAGGTAGAGATTGTAGATAGCTCAGAGTCGGCAGAAAAGTTATGTCGACCGGCACCGATCCAAGTTAGAGTTTCAGGTCGGCGATATGGTATTACTAAAGGCCTCGACATGGAAATGTGTGATACGCTTCAGGAAGAGGGGGAAGTTGGGTCCCCTGTGTATTGGGTTTTTTCAAGTGATTGCCAGGGTTGACAAGGTTTCTTACAGGTTGGATCTACCCGAGGAGCTCAGTCAGATTCACAACACTTTCCACGTTTCACAGTTGCGAAAGTGTGTATTCGATGATGAGGCGGTGTTCTCCTTGGACGATATTTAGGTCAATGAGCGCTTGAACTGTGTTTAGAAGCCGATATCTATTTTGAATAAAAGATGAAGGCCTTTCGTAACAATGAGATACCTTTGGTAAAGGTACGGGGGCAGCATCAGAGAGCCTCCGATTGGACCTAGGAGCCGGAGGATGAGATGCATGAGCATTATCCATGGTTATTCGTCGTAGCAGAGTTCGAGGACAAAGTCTAGATCAAATGGGGGAGAATTATAACATCCCGATGTGAGGTACTTCTAAATT